GGCATTCAAACCAAATTTGATTGTATGCAGTTGCTTTGGATGCAAAGGTGCAATTGCTAGCCATGGGTTGCAACACCCATGGTTGGACTGTTAGCTGAAGCATATCATACCTCACCTGCAAGTGCAGTGGAATTTTCTGTTACAAAGGTGACCCTGAGTCCAGAGCAACCAGGTAAACAAGTTATTTGGGGATGTTGCAATGGTCATACTTACATAGCTCAACAATAAGAGCCAATTCTAGATGTCTTTATAGCTAGCATCTAAATGTTTGACAAGTAAAACATACCCACCAAAACTCCTAATGAGTTCTTCCTAAAGAAAAAATATTTAGTATTTTAGTCAACCTAACAATAACCTTAATTTTATTTTATTTTATTTAGTTTAGTTTATCACTTTTTCCTCGAGGAGCTCAGTAGTGCTATAGAAATAACTTCCTTTTTTTTGGGTTACAACACCAAACTGACTGGCTGCAAAACAGTGACCATATCAAAGACACTCAGTAAGAATCTATGACTGCAAATGAACTCAAATCCAAGGCCTGTTGATACTTGATAAACCAGTATACGATACTGGGATGATTAATAATAACCATATTATATAACTCTGTTTCTCTGTCTTTTGTTACATTAAGCAGAGATAAATTTGGAGAATAACATGCAGGTTCTGTAGTCCTGGACTACAGTTTATTTAGCTCTGTACTTTCAACTGGGCTGAGCAGTCCTTTGGTGGTTAAGAACTGCACTTAATATTGGGAGTTATCAGAAGGTCTCAGTGTAGGGTGAAGAAGGAAAAGAGCAGGACTTTTGGGGAGGAGTTATATGTACGGTATATTTTTAAAATGACATGTTAGTATCTATATTAGTACTTGCAGTGAACCTTTGGTGTGTTTATAGTCTTATGTGGTAGAAGAGAAAACAAATCACCATGTTATAGCAATTATGGTAAAAAATGGTACAGGGATACCCACCCCAGTTCTCAATCTGATGCCCTAAGATCTAGAAACAAAACCACTAGGCAGTATCAGATTAAAGAAAGATGAATTAGACGCATGCAGAAGACAGAATCCTAAGACAATCTAGAAAACATTAGAAACTAAAAACATCTCTAGCAAAATAACAACTATACTACTCTAACACTTTAATGAGAAACACTTACTTTTGAATTATTCATGCTTGGAGTTAACAAAATCTGCACTACTGATTTTAGACAAGAGTGCATTAATATTTTCTCAAACAATTTTGTTGGCATTCATGATTGTTCCTTTAGGGGATATTTTCTGTCAGTTCTTATGGTAGGGTAAACAGCCATTAAACTTTACAAAGATCACATTAAGAGATTATCCACAAGTTCATATTGCCCTCGTTAATATTACTGAGATAAAGTGTCTCTGGAGCTTTTCAGTCATCCAGGTTATAGTTGTCTCAAAGGTGCTTTTTCAAAAGGCAATTGGACTGTTTTTTCCTTGAGGAAGAAGAAAATATTTTATTTCTCATCCAAGAAACTTCATCAGTTGTGTGTGTGTGGGGGAATGGAAAGATAGGTACTGAGTGATAAACACAACTATGTAAGTTCCTTGAAGTTGCTCACTTGCTGAGAGCAGCCATGTTGCCACTGTCATGGTGAACAATTTGTCATGCTCATACACTATGTGAGAGGATAGTTCACTCTTCTTGCATTCCCCAAGCTGGATGCGGAATCCATGTCACAGCTCTCCTTATTGGTGTGTGCCTACTTTTCTGCAGATATACAGACCTACACGTGAAACACAAATAATAATTTTGGAGCTTCTTGCCTATATTTGAGCCTGATTAGACAGGTGTTTCCTAAGGCCTGAAAAATATTTCCAGGCTCCTTCAGGCTCAAAAGGTTTATGGACTTTTTGCTGACACCAGGACTGAAAAGTTGATAATTTATGGTTTTGCATGAGTTATGAGAAGAAGAAAGGTTTGTGTGTAACGGGTTGATGAGTTATCAAATTTACCTGTGATGAAGACTGGAAGTAATTTCTTTACACATTTCTTTTCTTTTTCTTTATTCTATTTCTTCCCTCTTTCTTGTTTTTTCTTTACTTTCTTTACTTTTTATTTTTCTATCTTTTTTCTTTTTATGACTCTAATTTGTATTTAGTTTTACTATTGCATTCAAAATCTTTAATAAAAATTAAAATTAAAAAGAATAAAGACTTCCTTAATAGGAATTTACATTCACAATCACTAAATGATGCTTTATTTTAAATCTTTTTAAAATTATTTGATCTAAGTCTCTTTTCATGTGAGATAATCCTAGTATTCACTTCCTTACAGAAACAAATGTTTGAGCCATTTCAATTAAGTCTTAGGCAAAAGTGAGTATAAGCAGATAACGATATGAGTAAGTTAAGTACCATATATTCCGGCGTATAAGACGACTTTTGAGAGCGTTGAAACAGCCTCCGAACTTGGGGGTCGTCTTATACGCCGAGTCGTCTTATACGCCGGAAATAAGGTAGTTTCTGGCATATAAGATGACTTTCTAGGCATGCGACTCGGCGTTGATCGTCTTATACGCCGGAAATAATGTAGTTTCCGGCGTATAAGACGACTTTCTAGGCATGCGACTCGGCGTTGATCGTCTTGCGACTCGGTGTCGATCGTCTTGCGGCCCAGCGTCAAACTAGGAGGTCGTCTTATACGCCGGGTCGCCCTATACGCCGGAATATACGGTAATGACCTCTTCTGCAAGATATGTGTGGTCTTCCAGTCTTTTGCAAGCTTCATGCTGTCAGTTTACGACAACACAGATCCACTTCATAGATAGTATCAGAAGTCAAAAGGGCATGCATTTTTGGTTTATTGATATACACACAGAATAGTTATTATCTGTATTGATAGATGATCATGAGTATATTTCCTCTGATCTTTGGTGATCTCCAGCAGTTTAAGACAGAATATGAAAGATCCTCTTCCCCAATTTTTGTCCCAAACTTATGAGTAGTTTGGATTGAGTGGATGGTTCAAAGTCACCAGTGATCTAGACATGAATCTGAATCTTCCCAATTGCAATTTAACTTCTTAATCACTATGTCACAATGGCTGTCTCTATGTAGGTAGGCATACCAACATGAGTTATGTATAATGAAGAGCACCTTTGTAGAAATCTTGAGAAAGAAATCTTAACAAAGAGTAGGCAAATGTCTGGAAAACACCTATCTGGCTGTGTTAATTTCTTCAAATATATTATTTATATTGCCTTGCTGTTTTAATTTTAGATTTTTAAAAATGGAAAATATTTTTCCAACAGTTCCAACACTGCCGTATTCTCTATCTGAATTCTCTTTTTCAATAATGGAATATTTTCAGCAATAAAGCTGTTTCCCAATAGTTCTACTCTCATCTGTGAAAGTGAGCAGAAAACTAAATGGGTATAGGTTTGCTATTGCCATTATCAAGGTCAGCTGCTTTTATCCTTGCTTGTTGCTTCATAAGTCCCCATGCAGGAAAGGTTCTTCTCTCATCTCACCACTTGCTGGGAAAACCATCAACCAATTACAGCACTGCTGTGATTCAGGTTAGTTTTAACAGATGACTAGACCTGTATACTTTGTCATCTCTTAGACCCCCTACCCTTATCTTTACTTGTCAGCTCTTTCACTCTAAGGAACAGCCAGCTAAAGGTGGTGGATGATTGGGCAACATAGCTCTTTATTCACAAAGTCTCTAAACTAGGGATTGGTTGAAAGACCTGATGAGTACAGGGTAAAGTCAATGTAGAAAAACAGATCTTTTTCACTTCTCAAAGTGGAGTGTCCAGAGACTGATTCCTGTCAACCCAAGGAATCTGCAGTGCTACTGACAAAATGAAAGAGGAAGCATATTGAGTTATTCCCAAAATTAAACTGTTGGAGTTGGTTGTTTGCTTAAAAGAAAAAAAAAATACTTTAATGCTAGGACAGCTACGTTTATTGTAGTCATTGAACTGACAGTGACTGGATAGCACATATTCAGGGAGGTCTGGTTAGGAATGAAATGTTGTAGGAACAGTAAAAAGGTTGCTAGGGCATATTGTGTAATGGTTACCTGCAAATGGGGAAATTCTTTAGTATTCCAAAATGCTGAATGATTCTTCCTCTCTATTTATCTTAGTTAAATAGATAACTAACAAGATACCTTAGCTGCAGATAAAACAAAGAAGATTTTATCTCCCTCCTTCCTTCCCTCCCTCTCTTTCTTATTTCTTATTTCACAAGGTTTTGCTAAAATTGAAGAAGAAATGGGAGTCATCTATGCTACTTGAAAATATTAGATTAGGAATATATCCATCTTTTATATACACAATATGCAATATAACACAAATATTTAACAAAAAACAGTACTAATAAGGGAAATTAAGTTGATAATTTAGTGATTAAGGCATCAGACTAAAAACTGGTAGACCATGAGTTCTGAGTCCTGCCTTAGATACAAAGCTAGCTTAGTGCCTTTCTCAGCCCTAAGAAGGAGGCAACAGCAAGACACTTCTGAAATTTTGCCAAGAAAACTGTAGAGGTATGTCCAGGCAGCCAACAATAATTCAAAGACATATACACATTAAGAATTTAAATACTGTAAAATATCAGAAAAACTAGGTGTTTTTTTTTTTTTTTTTTACTAATGATGGTTCAGTTCACTCCACCTGAAACATGATCCAGAGAAATATTGGCCAAAAGATAATTATTTTAGTGAGTTAAACTGGTTTCACAATTGTCATTTTGAAGGTGAAGCAAACTATACAATGCAAGTACAGACTGAATATATTAAAAAAAGTTATAGATAGATAAAAAAATAATATTTAATTAAATGAAACCAACGGAACATATTACTTGCCACGATACCAAAATCTAATGGTATGATTGCTGAATCATAAACATGCCTTTTTATTATTTCCTTTGCAATGGAAGGGGACACATAGGCAAGGATCTTGACTGAGAGCTCATAAACTAATGCATTAAATGAAAAATCAGATTTTGTTTATTTGCTTTCTAGGCAATAATTCCCAGACTCAAATTATCTTACATCATACAAAGACCAGCTCTCTGAAGAAGATTCTAATGATGAGAATTGTGGAAGAAAAGAGGATGACTGACAGAAAGGTGAATGAGTCCCATTGCAATTTCAATAGACATATTGGAATATTTGAATATTCAGGTTACGGACAGATAGTCATGGGAAAAAATGTATGCAATCATTAAGAGTTGATGCCAACCTAATAGCATATAATCAATCAATGCTATAATTCAAAACTGCTGTTAGATATTTTGTATTGTTCTATCTTATTTTATAAATAAAAATGCTACACTTATATTTAATATGTATATTGCAAAATTGCTGTTTTAAAGTTGCTGTTCTGTTTATACTGTTTTGACCTTCTACTATTGCTGAAACAGAAATATGCTGGAATGCTGTTTCTCTGAATGTAGATATAGAATTTGGAGTCTGGATTCTTTCAGCAAGAAACTAATTTGATAATAACTAAGAGCTGAGAATGAGATAGAGTTTCACAAATGTGGGCTAAATATCAGGCATTAGAACATGCAGGATTTTGTCTAAAAATCATGACAGCACAGTTAGAAAGTTGCCTAAAGAGATGTTAAGAAATCTATGATATTTATTTTGTCTTAAGACCAGAGAATAAAACAAAAACAGAAGAGTATATAAGGCCTACCTATAATGGCAAATTATGTTTTATGAAAGCATTGCTGATGGTGGTAAAATGCGGTACATACGCTGTTGAGGAAGTTATCAATAATGGCTCTAACTTGTAAGAATATAGTATTGCAAGAATAACTCTTTTAAAGTTTTCTTTAGCTTTCAGCGTTATTGTTTGTTGTACATTGATCTACAATTAGCTTTTCAATATGTAGTACAAATGATATAATTGTTTAGCACCGATGGAGCAAAAGTTTGGTTATGAAATAAACCTGTTCAAATTTTTGATGAAAAAAATGAAAAATTGAGCAAATCAATAATAAAACATAAGAAATTTGCACACAGAGAAAAGCTTGTGTATGCATGTTTGTTGTTGTGTCTCAGAGTAGCCTGCTCCTTCCTTCCTTCAGCCTTCTATCTGGGTGTGGTTATTTCCACAAGGAGTTAGTTGTTTTGTCACCACCCTTTCTTGATTAAAAAGATGTCTCCTCCCATCTGGATAGGAAGAACAGAAAATTCCCCTTCCTAAAGAATAATCTTTTAAATATAGCTCTGCCTTTGTCTTTTTTACCAATTTACTAATTTCATAGTCTTGAAGTTCAGTTGCTATTTTGCAAACCAAACGACTGAACAATCAAGAAAAAATATCTTTATTTTAATGAGGATAACAAAGTAGAGATTTTAAGGAATTGTTTAACAACTACTAATTGTTTAACTTATATGTGGTCGAAATCTGCATTCCACAGTTACTACTCAGCAACCTGAAAACAGTCAGAGAAAACAAGCAAGATAATTGGAGCAGATGTAAAACTACTGTAAATTGAGCAAGCAGAACTTGCGTGACTAACTTAATGTACCTTGACAACTTTACCTTATTGTTTCTAGTTGCCTCAAAGCTTTTTAGATAAATTATTAGGTCTTATCACATGAAATATGTTTTCCAGAATCCTTGTTTTCTCACAAGGAATTCCAAGTAAAATTCACAGAGAACAAAGGTACTCCTAACTTCTCTCTTTCCCAAGTCCTTTCTTTTCTCTGATTCTTTTTTATTTACTATACCATTTTATTAAGTTTATCAAATTATAGAATACAAATGAAAATTAAAATAGTGCACAACTGGGGAATGGGAAAAGGGGGAGAGAGGAGTGTAGGATAAAGGGGTAAACTAAGAAAAGCATTAAGATTTGTCTCTTTTCAGTTCAGTGGAATAAAAATAATAACATAATAACTTCTCTGATTCTTACTAGTCCACAGCTTTTCAACCTTTTCACAAATTGTACCACTTTTAAGACATGACAATATTCGAGTACCACCAGTGCTTAGCAAGGTGTCAAAAACTTGATGACTAAATAAAAGGGTGGGTGGGTTTTACTGATTAGATTCATTTGTTGTTATAGAAATGGCTAATTTATAATATTATGGAAAAGTAAAAAGTTGAGGTTCAATGTTAATGCTTCCTTCTACTGCAACAGAGGAAGTCTGTTCTTTTTGCCTTTTCCCCCTTACTTTCCCCCCTTTTTCCTCTGCACTGTGTCCTACTATTTGCTTTTGTATTTTATTCTATAATCTAATAAAATATTACAAACTGTAGAAAAAAAGGAAAAAAGTACCAGTTTTAATTTCTTTGGTGGCAGTTTTTTGCTGAATCACTTTCCCTTTGCACTGACAAATATATGATGAATTTATCCATATTTATTAATATGCACCACTAACAGCTGGCTGGTCGGCACTTCTTTCTCTCTCCCTCTCCTCTTCTTCCCCTCTGCCTTCTGAGCTCTCCTTCCACAGTGTAGTAAGAATGCCCACACATCCCCAGTACCTTCACTGTACCCTTAAAGACACAGGAATCAAGCACAAAGCAAGAAAGGATCACAAAAGCCTCCCAGAATAAAGAAACACTAAACCTGGTTTTTTTTTTTCTTTAAGCTGCCTCAGGCATGTCTCAGTTTAAGCAAAGTAACAAAGGCTTGGCAATTGCAAAAAGTGGTAACCTTAAATTAAGCCTGTTTACCTACAAGAAAATTTGCTAAAAGCCATAGACAGACTCATGATAAGGGGATAAAACTAATTACATTTGTTTAAAGGGATTAAACCTATGGATGCCAACACTTTGGACTCATAGTCTGTTTCATTTGTGAAACAGACTAAAACATTCCTATAACCAAAGCACACAAACCAAGCCTCTAAATTACAAAACACTGTAAAAACTGTATAAAAATCCTTATGGTAATCCATTCAAGCTGCCAGCTGACCAGGAACCCATTGACTTCTGAAATAAACCAACCTCCTTTCCAACATCCTTGTCTCTTGGCTTTTCATTTCTTCAGTGCTGATTGAGTTCTCCTGACTGGAGAAAATGAACCAGGGAACCTTTTCTTCCAGCAACAGCTGCTTCTTCTTCTCTGTCTCTTTTTCCTCCCTGCCTGCTGAGCTCTCCTTCCACAGCTTCTTCTCTGTTCCCTTCTCTTTCCCTGTTGGCTTTTTTCCCTTTCCCGCCAAAACCACCTCCTTTTATATCCTCTACTCTCCTCCCTCCTTGTTTCTTCAGTTCACCTCCAGCTCCGTGCTGCTTCTGGAAGTGCCAGTCTGCTGGAGCTAATCAGCTTGAGCCCTGCTGGCGCTCCTGGGGCTTTTGCTGAGCCCATACAGTCCTGCAGCTCCCTCGGGCTTGGGTCACTTCAGCTCATTCCTCTCCCCTGCTATACTTGTCTAGGAGGGTCATGTACCACCTGCCATGTGCCAAAGTACCACTGGTGGTATGTGTACCACCAGTTGAAAAGCCCTGTACTAGAGGACAGAATAGTAACAGTTAGCCAGCAGGCTGCTCAAAATTAAAAGTCCCTTGTTAGCTTGAAGTCCTTCTTAGTCCACTACACTAGTCCTCTTGAAAATTATTTACTTATATATACCTCACTGACAGCATAACTTCAATGGTATCAGAATCTGGGTTGATAAATTGAATCACCTGGGATGTTGTAACTGAGGATCCCCAAACTCAGTCTATTCCCATATTTAAACAATATGATTCCTCTGATGATGCTCCCTGCCCTTTCTCCTTTTCTGTGCTTAAAGGTCTTTGAAGAAATGAAGGACTAAACTATATATTCTAATGTTTGGCTGTATGATATTAAAGGGAGGGAATCAGAAAGGACACTGAATGACAAAAAGTAAGAGAATTTATAAATGAATGTGGAGAAAAAGAGAAGGAGCATTCCTGAAAGAGTTTTGGAATACATAACTGAATATGTTTCCAGGGCACTTGATTTTAGACCTGCTTCCAAAACATCTGTATTTTTTAGAAATGGTTAAATTATAAACATAGCCAAAATAAAAGGTACAGCCTGGTGATTTGGCGAGCAAAGGATCAAATCTTGCTATGATATTTAGAGGTGGGAAAGGTGATCCCAGTAATTGGATTGTACTATTGGAAAAGCTGAAAGCTGCCTGCCTACTGATTGCAACAATGTGACCAAACAGCTGTTTATTCATTAATACATATTTGCTTTTGCTTGCACAATGGGAAAGAGTGATATTCAAATAATGTCCTGAGTAATTTTTCTAAATCTCTGTGGTTCACGGCATTTAAATTCAGTTTCCATCGAGCTGTATATTATTAGTCCTATAGGAACTTTGAAAATTCTAAAGGTTCTCTGAACATATTTATTTCTTTTTTTAAAAAAATCTTATTTGGATTTAAATGGGATGCATGTCTAAGACATCCAACACAGGAAAACTTAACAGAATAAAGCAGGTTTCTCAATTTTAACAATTTTAATATGTTTGGTATTTTGCTGGGAATTTGACACAAAGTTGTCAAGGTCCTGGATTAGAGTGTACGGGACTCTGTAAGACAAGCCACAAAATACCTTGCTTAGCCCCTTGAATCCTAGCAGTATGTTATCTCCCTTCTATGAATTTCTTGTTTGTAAGAGATTGTATGACAATCTCATCCCCTTTCTCTTTTTTGTAAATCTTTGACAAAAGAGTGGAAAGATATTGATGCCATTTATAGTGGCAACTGCACTTTAAGACTTCAGTGGTATATGTATGAGAATGACATGTCAATAATGGGATTGCTTTGGGAACAAAACAAATGGACCTGCCTAGGATCATTCAGCATGTCCAGAACCTATGTAGGTTATTTTTTTTTTCTCTCTCCATCAAGTCCTCCATTATTTATGGCATTTCATTGTTTGGATACTCTATTCTTTCCCCTGTCTATCCTGTCATCTCCCAATGACCTGCCAAGAGAAAGGCTAATCATTCTTATTGGATAGGTGAGTTGAATGACCATGGATATTTTGAAGTTAGGCTGAGGCTTGTCCCAAAAGTACTTTTCAAAAGACAACTGGACTTACTTTGTTTTTTTCCTTGAAAATGTTTCATTTCTCATCCAAGAAGCTTTTTCAGTTTTGAGGGTTGCAAATTGTCCACCAATGCTATTACTTGGAAAAATAGTGAATACAGCTTAATTCTTAGGAAATGTGTATAAAATGTGTATAAAATGGCACTTAAAAATTGGTACAGCAATTTTGTTCAAACATCCCTTTGATCCTTAGAATATAACAGTTTAAACTCAGTTTTGTGTCTTTTAATGAAATTACTTTGCTTGTTTAGACTGAACTTTTCTTTTTGTGTTTTGTTAATTCAGTCATTCACTGAAATTTGCTAGGAAAACAAGAGATATTCTGAAATAGATCCTGATTATAATAGTCACTGATTTTTAACTCAGATTAATAGATTTTTATTTATACATAAAATCAAAAGAAACAAATTCCATGTTTTATTTATTACAGATACTTCTATACCACTAAAATTGCTTGAATTTTACAAGAACACTATATACACAACAATATTATCATTTCAAAAGTAACAAAATACATGGATGTGTGTGTATATATGAGTACAATACATACAATATATATATTTATGTATAGTGATTAAAATGCAAAATACTCAATTAAAAAACAAATACTATATCATGTAACAGTTATTACTAGCACCCATCACTTCTTGCAGGTGCATCTGTTGAACACAAAATGATCTCTGAGAAAAGCAGATCTTAACTACTTTCCTGAAGTTCAAAAGTGAGAGTGCAGGTCTTTGTCTTTATGCTTGCTCCCACTGTAACTTATTGAACAAGACAACTTGCAGTGTATCATAGGCATGAACATTATACATGGAGTAAGTGGTCTCATAGATCAGGGCTTTTCAACTGGTGGTACATGACCCTTAACCAAGTATAGCAAGGGAGGGAACCAGCTAAAGTGGTGCCGCACAGACCTGGAGGAGATCGGCTGAAGCTGCAGGATTCAGCAGAAGTCTCAGGATCTGCACGGGAAGAGAAAGAAAGGAGGAGGAGGGCAGAGAGAGAAGAAGCTATAAAAGGAGCAGATTTTGGTGGGAGAGAAAAAAAACACATGGAGAAGAGATAGAAGAGAAAAAAAGAGGCT